GGGCTCAAAATCTCATTTGTTGACCATAGTTTTGCCCCACCTCATGCCCACCTAAGTGAGTTCCCATGTTCTCCACCACCTTTGACCTGCCTCCTGCTGGGGAGGGAGGGGGTCACCTGTCCCTCTCTAGGACAGGAGCTTTCTTTCTCCCAATAAATATATTCTGCTCATAAACTCCATTTGTTCCTAAAATTCTTTCTTTTTGTTTTTGTTTTTGTTTTTTTGTTTTTGGAACCAGAGATTGAACTCAGATCCTTGCGCTTGCCAGGGAAGCACTTATTCTATTGAGCCATCTCCCCAACTTCTGTTCCTAAAATTCATTCTTTCGGTTTTAGAGAAAATGAACTTGGGGGCCTAGGAGGTGGCTCAGTAGAATAAGTGCTTGTCTGGCAAGCGCAAGGGCCTGAGTTCAATACCTGGTTCCGAAAAAAAAAAAATCAGTCCTTGATTCCCATTCCTAAAGAGAACACCAACTCATCCCAGGTACCTTTCAGATGGGGCGTTTCATTTTTTCCCCTATATCATTTGGAGGTCCCTGTATCATTACTTCTGACCTTTTTGGCTTTGCAACATTCTGAAAAGGTATGATTCACTCAGTAGCTAGCCATAAATATTGATACTGCTGCCTTTTGTTTTTTTTCATTTATGTGTTTGGTACAGGGTCTCACTATGAAGCTTGGACTCATAGTGATCCTCCTGTTTTCAGCCTCCCCAGCACTGGAATTACAGGCGTGCGCCCCCACACCTGGACTTCTTCCTGGCTCAGCCCTCAGGGGCAGGGCTGGGGCAGCGTGTGAGACCAGGGATTGAACCCTGGCCCCTGCCCTTGCCAAAGCAGTTACTTGGTGCACTGAGCTATCTCGCCAGCCCACCTCTTTGGTTTGGGGGGTTATTTTTTGTTGTTTTTGTTTTGTTTTTTGAGACAGGATCTTGCTCTGTAGTTCAGGTTGGCCTTTAACTCACTATATAGCATAGACTGATCTCAAACTCATGGCAATCTTCCTGCCTCAGCCCCGAGTGCTGGGATTATGGTCATGGGCCACCATACCCCGCTTGGTTATATCTCTATTAATCTATAATTAATCAAAAGTGTTATATGTAGGATAATATAGGAAGTCTGGCCTACCTTCTAGTTATTTCTTTAAATTGGGTCAAATAAAGACATCATCTTTATTTTTTTATGTTATGTTTATTAATATTAGGTTGTATCTTAGCTGAATGTAATAGCTCATTCCTGTAGTCCAAGCACTACATATGCTGAGGCATGAGGATTGTTTGATTCCAAGAACTGGAGATCAGTCTGGGCAACATAAATTAAACACTTAAAAAAAAAAAACTTGTGAAATTTTGTTTGAAAATACTGCCTACCAAGTTTCCCTCAACAGAGTCAGTTAAAACCCTGAGAAGTCCTACAGTTTAAAAGATAAAGTGAAAAATCTGCTTAATTTTGTTTACTCAATATTTCGCCTAAGTGACAGCTCTCAGCATCCTACAGAGCCAGTTACAAACTGATATTTAAACAGCTTGATGAGCTGGTAGACCCAACCAAGCTTATTTCTCTCCATATGTTACATTTCCTGATACTGTCAGAGATCCTGGTATTTGGTATGAATTACACATACTTTCTTTTTAGGAAAATAAGATATTTCTAAGACCTAACCATGCCTTACAAATGGGAACCATCTTGACTACCAGGAGTATATGAGAGACCTT